ATATAGAGAGAATGCTAATCTGAAATAAGATTATTATCTCTCTATATTTATGTATATATATATATATATATATATTTAAAAGCAGGGCTTTATAACACTGTTATGAATGCTGGAATTTTATTATGATAAATGAATGGTTATGGTTTACTCTATACTGGGGTAGAGTAGGGTTTGATAATATATAATTTTTCTCTATGTTAGAATTAAATATATCATAAAATTCCTGAATAGTATATAGATAGGTTTAATATAATTAAATTGTAGTTGTTTTTCATGTATAAAAATTATGTAGGATTAAGTGTTAGAAACTTTTATGATAATATATATATGTTAGCCATTTGACAACTCAATATATTTAATTTTATTTATGTTTTTTTAAAATAACAATGAGATTACTGATAAAAAATTATTTTAGACAAGATTTATAATCATAATTATAATTTTTAACATAATAATAATTATAAGATATATGGTTAAACATAATATAATATTTATATTAAAAATCCCTTCTACAATTGACTCTATCAGCAACACACATCATTACATAATAAATAAAACTCATAACATTGTATCTTCGATCTTCTATAAGTGGAATTACTCATTATGAATCCCACTCTTAAGGATGGGTTCAATACAAATGGTTGTATGAGTGAAAATCCAGAAACTTAATATTTTGTGAGAGGAAGAAGCTAAAGCTTTAAAAGATCATATCTGTATATAGATGCTCATAGTGGCAGTGGTAGTGATTATTATTTTGTATTCTACTCTATATGACCTACCATATTTCGTATGATCTATATCATAGACTCAGTTTTAGAAATAAAAAATTAGTCTATGTACTAAAATTGAAATTATATTATTAAGCTAGATGCATATTATAATATTTATATTAAATTATTGATAATTTTAGTGATAATAATATAATACTTATTAAAATTATAGATTAGTGATAATATTATATTTTAATATTTAAAATTATTTATTAATTCACATATTTATATGTAACAAAAATTTTATTTATTAAATCTATTCTGTAGCAATGTTTGCACAACCATATTTGTCCATGTGACCAACTCTTCTTCTAAAGCAGTGATTTCTGGTACAAAGACAGTATCTGAGATGTTGTCTATCAACCTGAAGGTTTCCAAGTTCTCTGCTATTTTTCATGTTATTGTGTCAGTGAAAGAATTCCAGACTGGTGACTTCTATTACCCAGCATGTGTGAAGGTTGTCAATGGAAGCCAATGTGGCAAGAAGGTTACTCAGGTTTCGGAAAGTATGTGGCAATGCAACTCTTGTGACACTGATTCTGGAGATATTCACTTCAAATATGCACTACACTTGTGTATTCTGGACAGCACTGGACATATATAGACGGTTGCATTTGATGATGCTAATGAAATTGTAGATATGCCTGCATGTAAGCTGGCTGCGCTACAAGATGATGATTATACTGTTTTTTCAACCGTAATGGACTCTATTTGATCAAAGATGTACAATCTGAAGATTCGTTGCAAGCTCGAGAGCTACAGAGATACCAAAAAATTATAGTTGGTCTTGACACTTAAAAGAAAAAATGTGTGAGAAAACAAAAAGTATGTTTTATTTCTTTCTACTATTGTTTTATAATTTGTTGTGTGTGGTATCAAGTTTCTAAGTATAAGCCCAAGCTGGAGCTTTCAAAACTAATGTTGTGTAGAAGTTGATGAATGATTAAAACAATTTGTAATAATGTAATTAGTTAAAAACTGTTTAAATTAACTAAGTATTGGTTGTAGCTAGCAACCATCCATTCACACAGCCATGAGACATCTTCTAATTCAGGATCAACTAAAAGGGTAGAGCCACCTGTGACTGAAATAGACTTGCCATTGTAATCTGAAATCCGGCTGCCCTTCAGGCATACAGTAGGCTTCTGCCCTTGTCCAGGTTTCTCCTCGATTTCTGAACCTTCATCTTCGGCCTTTGAATCCCACAGACACATGTCTATACTGTGGCCTGATTCATCACTCAAAGAAAGCATCCTCCTTCTCATGAATGCTCCAGAATCCTTAGGAGAAATGTTTGTCTATTCCACATTACACCACCAATCACGTCTATAAATGTCTCTTGGCCGAGCTTAGAAGCATCTAAAACACTCATTCTATTAAGAACAACATTTGGAATACGTAGATCGTCCTCTACACACTTGATCTCCATAGTCTTGCTTGCTTTTATCTCCCAATTTGATTTATATGGTGTATATGCTGGTTTAGAGTGTTGTATACCACTGTTCCCTGAAAATATATAGACACTGCCTTGCTCAATATCATGAAAGATGCTTTGCATTCATGCCAAACCCAACAATATGTATTTTGGAACTTTATGCATCGGCAACAGCAATTGACATAACACACCCAGCTGTGCTTGTTTCAAAGAATACAAGTTTCCCTTTGTGTCTCACCTTGGCAGGAAAAGACCATCGGTAGCAGTGGCCCCTGATGTTCTTATATGGCATCTCAGCTTCTTAGAACTCTGTCCCTTAACATGAAACAGAGAAAAAAAATTAAAAATGTTATATACATACATACATAATGTAATTAGTTACAAACAATTTGTAACTAAATAACTAATTTGTAATGTATTTAGACAAAACTAACATTAGTAGTCGTAGTGCTTTACATTTGTGTTTATTTTTTTATAAAAGAAATATCAGAAGAAAAATCTGGGAGTGTCATATATATTTCAGTTCTTGGCTTTTCGTTTATATTGTTTCTTTATATTAACAAAGAAATATTCAAGCATGAGATTTCATAGGTGGTTATGTTAAAGGTTTTGAATATGAAAGTGTGGGAAAGCTTACTTGATTGTAAGAAGAAGTTCAGCCTTTTCTATATCATGATTTTTAAATACATATTCTGTAATTACATTAACCTTGAAGGATATGCACTCTAGTGTTCATTGGATCACCAATGAAAGGCACATTGATATTGTAAACATCTATCACTTTGGCTTCAGTTCTGTCATCTTGGACTATTACAAAACTTTGCAATCTCTAGAGACAGACCAGATATTCTTCTGGCTGCTTGCTGAGCAGAACATTAAGTTGTAGTTATCTGCGCAAGTAGAGTATGTCATAATCCATGAGTTTTTTTCACGAACGTGCCTCAACAATCCACACACAGCAGGCCTGTATATTTGATTGGAGTATATGAAGCAGTGTGATCCATGCAATGCAATTATACACATCTCTTTCCAGGTATGTAATACATTAGTGGGAGAATTAGGAATGTTTGTAAACAGCTGATATACAAACCTTCTGATGTTGAAAGGTTAGGAATATATTCAATGGAATTGTTGCCCCCATCAATGAAAGTTCCCATGTAAGTCAATGCTTGAAGTGCCTAAAAAAAGATAAACAAATCACAAACTTTAATGAGCATATCACCTCAAGTGCTGGGTTCTTTCAAATGTTCCCCTGCAAAGATCCAGTGCATTGTTCTAGACTCTAACAATTTCTGCATAAAAGCTTCAGATGCTTCAACATCAGAAATCAAAGAGTAAAGGCACAGATGTAAAGGCAAAGGTTTATTTTTTTTAAGGAATGTCAAAGTTCCTTTGTTCCATACAGTTGATCAACAAAATGCGAAGGTATAGCTACTTGGAACGTGTCTTGTCCAAGGTGAAGCTGGCCCTTTAGCGTGATGTGTTCCTTTATAGGTCCTGCATATTTACATATTTTACATATTGCTTCATCTTTAGAAGTTTGTTGCAATCTTGATCCGCAGCATAATGAACAAACTGTGTGTATAAAAACTGGACAGAGCTTATCTACTTCAAAGTATCCAGGTATCTGCAAAACAACGTGTATTTAATATGGGCTTGTTTCATTTCCTTTCGCACTTACCCCTGTGCATTCCCTTGCAATATTCCGAAAAAGTCCCAGCTACGCTAGGAGCATAGTGCATTGTATACATTGTACATTGTATACATAGAATATTGCATTCCCTTGCAATATTCCGAAAAACAGAGTCAAGGAATTATTTTGGCATCATCTATTATACATGAAACAATGCTCATGCCTGTGACATTTGCTCTCTTGAAATAACCGTCTCCTTGTAAATTAATGAAACATCTTGTTGGTGGAGTTCCAGAAAAACATTCATTCATCAACTCTTTGAATAATTCCATTATGTTGCCATGGAATTTGAGCTGCCATCATATAGATTATTGTCAGGGATCCACATGCTATATTGAACTTACTATATCATATCAGACTTGTTGATGTTATCTGTTATTGTGAGTTGACCACTGTTGTAGCCTATATCATTGATACTCACTACAACACCTTCAACAGAACCTACAGAGTCTCGGCCTCTACATGACTCCACAAAGTTTTCAATGCTGATAGTTGGTACAGACAGACGAAATTGTGGCACTATAAGCTATTACCTAAAAGCTTACGTTTTCTTCCTAGCATAATAGATGCTCATCATTGTGGTGGGTCAATAAAAAGAGGAGATGCACTGGGCCTGGGTTGGAACTCAAGTCATCATGTTGTTTCGCATTTCTCTAGCATGACTCCACATTCAAATATATATAGCCACAGATACCACCTACTCAAAAATAAACTGGAGATAACCATAAAGGAAGTGCATAGAAAGAAAAATAGGCAGCTAGCCTCTTCCCACTCTTTCATGCACTGTGGTCCATGCACTGTGTGCGAGTGGAATCCCGAATAGGACAGCCTTTTGCCCAATGAGCAGGCCAGGCTCAAGGCTCGGCAGGGCGTGAAATACGTTTGCCTCGATGGCTTACAGGTGCTCAACTCCGAGCTAGCAAGCAAAAAAATTTAGCAGAAGCAGCGAGCGAGTAAGGAATGACGAAGAACCAAACAAATAAGACAAATACATTATCAGAGATGAAACTCTAGAACCGGTTGCCAAGGACGGTGTCACCATTGGCGAATTTTGCATACGTGGGAACATGGTGTTCAAGGGATACTTGAACAATCCAGACTCTGGGGACTTGGCAGTTTGGCATCCCAATGGATACATCAAGATCAAGGATCGAGCCAAGGATATTATCATTTCTGGAGGAGAGAACAATAGCAGCCTGGAAGTGGAGAGCATCTTGTACAGGTAAAAGGAGAGTTTTTCCTTCTTTGTTTCTTGTTAAAGTTTGCTTCTTTTTCATCCAGGCATCCAGCAGTGTTGGAAGCTGCTGTGGTGGCGCAGCCAGATGAGCAGTGGTCCATGTGCGTTTGTGTCCCTCAAGCACAGCGTGAGTCTCCATGTGCGTTTGTGTCCCTCAAGCACGGCGTGAGAAGCAACAAGGAGGAGATACTCTTGTCGTATCGACAGCATTTACCGAAGTTCATGGTGCCAAAGAGCATCGTCATTCTCACAGCCTTGGACAAAACTGCAACTGGCAAGATCCAAAAACAGGTGCTGTGCAGCAAAGCAAGAGCTCTTGGCAGTGTCAAGTAAATCAGCAAGCTCTACAAGCCAACTATTGAACTTGTAAAGCTTGAAATCGTTCATGGCCTGGAAAATCCCCAATCTAGCCTAGCAATTTTAAATCGGTCAGCTACTGTCCGTCCGTTGTAATGTACTGGAATGAAAAATAAATAAATAACATGCAAGAACCAAGAACGCAATTCATCTACCTCAAACAGTAGCTTTGTCTTATCAGCCGTCACTCTTGCATATCCAAATGCCGACCTTCGAATCAAGCTCCATGAACTAAACTGTCGACAAAAAAAATAGAAAAGGTAGAATATCAATACCATATAAAGAGCTTGAATATAGGAAACAAAGCTGCAAGCTTACATTATGAGGGAAGTCATCCAAGGTGAATTCAGCCATGCCAACCACGGTGTGAACTGGAGCTGAGTAAATTGTAGTGTCAAAGAAATCGACGCCTGTTAAATCCTTGATCGGGTGCTGCAGGCAGCGCCCTGAAACACAGCACAAGTTCGCAGGTAATTGTGAACATGCCCCCACACTGCTAAATCAACCTGTGCAAAAAAAAAAAAGAAAAAAGAAAAAAGACAGTTTCATTCTAGTTTTCCCTTTGAAGAGCTCGTGTTTTACCTTGTTTCTCAAGAGCAATGGTTCCACAGCTGCTACAAATTTCAGATCCACACCTGGTAAAGTTTAGAAATAAATCCCCCACAGTTGAGTGGAGTACATAGGTCGATGACTGAAAGAAAAATAGCACACATGAGTTTACAGAATGAAAATGTGAATAAAAACAGTTACCCTGTGAAAACTATCCATGGTGTACTGAATCTGCCGACAAATTCAAGGTCAGATTTCATCCAAGCGTACTGTAGAAGAAGGTTTCGTTGAAGGAAAGATGAAAAGAATAAGAATGCATACTTGTTCACTGGTCGAGCTCCAGTCATGTTCTGTAGAGATGATTGTGAAATGCATGGGGCCAATAGCCATGGAGCCGTGGAGCTGTGGCTGTCCCGAGGAGAAGTACAGGGACGAAAATTTCTTTTTTTTCTCTTGGTTCCAGCCTCGAGCACCTGGCACAAACAGGAACTTTAAGCCTCGAAAGAGAATAGCAAAAAGCAAGAGAGTGAAAAACCTTGATTCTAGTCGTGGTTCCAGCCTCGAGAACCTGGAACAAACAGGGGCTTGAGAGACTCAAAAAAAATAGAGCTTAGACCCGACGGCCGTGGAGCTGTGGCTGTCCCGAGGAGAAGTACAGGGACGAAAATTTCTTTTTTTTCTCTTGGTTACAGCCTCGAGCACCTGGCACAAACATGAACTTTAAGCCTCGAAAGAGAATAGCAAAAAGCAAGAGAGTGAAAAACCTTGATTATAGTCGTGGTTCCAGCCTCGAGAACCTGGAACAAATAGGGGCTTGAGAGTCTCGAAAAAAGACTGTCATTTTTCCGGCGCATGGCCATTGACAACGGTTTCCTGAGCTTTTCAATCGGTAGCAGCTTCAGATCTTCACGTACAGCTGACTGTAGCTCTGAGGTGCTCTGCAATGAAGACCGCATCAAACACACACACACACAAAGACAGAGAGAGAGAGAGAGAGAGAGTACCTTCCCACAAGCGATGATCGACGCTCTCTCCTCGTGCTCACGCGCCCTAAAAGACAATTAAAAGTTTTTATGATCCCAAAAGTCACGACTCCCCATTGTTTAATCTCAGCTGTTAGATTTTGGCATATGCCCAGAATAAGTGACGCCAGCATATGCTATTATTATACCGGCTCTGTCATTTAAATATATGAGTATGATGATACTCAAATGTGAGATTTTTCTTCTTGACTTTAGATTTCTAACATACTTGTTTAATTTGAGGTGACATGGTGCAATTTGGCCATCTTCCAGCTGTATTTCCTCCATTGACAACCATTGTTTATATGTTCAAAGGCATCCATATTGAAAGCAAGTCTTTTAAGTTATTTGACCTATTGACTGTGTTCACTTGGTGCTCAATGCTTGCAATCGTCAGAAAAGGCCAGAAGTGCACTGCTTGTATGGGATCCTCATGCTTGATAACTTTAATCACTCACTTGGTAGGCTTTGCTCTTCAGATTTGGAGGCTGCTGGCTAGAGAATTGTGCTAGGAGCATACTCCATCCTTTCTTATCCTGCTTACTGATTATCTTAGAAGCTTTTTTCTCCCATACAAATTGGGCTTTGCTTCCTGCTAGTATGATCTAGAGAACAGAACAGGAGGAACTTGTTGGGATAAAGATCTCTTCTATTCGTTGTGGGAGGATGCACAAAGCTTTTGTTTTTGGCAGTTTGATTCCTATTGTTTTGCAACTTGAGGTGCTCCTTGAGGGCTTTGATTGCACTCTGAGTGAAGGAATGCTTGGGAATTGTATAAACAAATTACAAAAAGTATAGAAACATGCTAGAATATACTTAGATATCCTAGGTATATTCCTTGTACCAGTAAGTTTTCTAAAACTACTTCTCTAAAAGGATGATTTCTATATCCAAAGATTGATGAGTTCTTTAAGAAATAAATAAAGAAACTACTAGGAAGAGTAATGCCACTTTTGCTCATAATATTTCTAATGTTTTCTTAGAGTATTTTCTTCTTACTTCTTTTACTAATTGTTCTTTGCTTTACTTTTGGATCATTCCTTACTACTAAAGCCTCTCACAGAAAGAGTTCAATAAATAGAATTTACTTGTTTGCATCTTTTTAAAGTTACTGTATATTATTATTACATATTTATAAGGTCATCAGGTGGAAGTGTTGCAAGGGAAAACTCACACTACTTTCACAGCCTCATTAGCACTAAAGATCCTTCTTTTTTACTTTTCAAAGCAAACCAACTACTGCAGCAAAATGCAGTCAAACAGAAAATTCCATGCCTTCTATAAAGGATAAATAAAGCTTAGAATAAAATTTCAAAATATATTCTAAGAATTTATTTCACGGCAGAATATATTGTGAGCACAAGCCCTAATTAGGGCTTGTGAAGGAGCGGCAATGTTCGACTCCACCATCGGCCTGGCAGCAGACATCGAAGGGAGAGTGGTCTCCTCCGCGCGCACATCCATGTCCAATGCAGCCACCTCCATGTCCGACTTCCTTGTCCATGCCGCCGCCGCCACTCCCGGTGCACCGCAGCCGGACGAGACGCTCCACAGGTACCTCGATTCCGTGGCCATGGATTTGCACGAGTCGGCCACTGCAAAGAGGGACGCCCACGCCCAGCAGCGCTCCATCACCAGGGACTACTCGAGGAAGAAGAAGAAACTGGGGAGAGCCTCCCAAGCCCAAGACGACGATGCCCGCGTCAAAAAGTCTAAGAAGAAAAAGAAAACACAACATCACCAGATCTAAGTTCCAAGGTTTTCAGCTCAAACTTCGATCGTATCCGTGGTCTTTTTGCTTGATTACACCGAGGGAGCTCCTCTCTTCTTGCCCGATTGATCACGGCTATCCGTGCGAGTACTTGACCGCTGGCCTGATGCGCATCCCCTCGAACGCCCCCTCGTCCGCGTTGTAGCAATCCAGCAAGTCCTGCACAGCGTCCTCGTTCCGCACCTCCACAAACGCGCACAGCTTGGACGAGTCATACTTGTCCCGGAAGAAGGAGACGTGCGACACCACGTAGCTCGGGCTGCCCCGCCCCTTGCGCCTCAGGAACCTGTCCAGCACCTCCTTGATCGCCGTCTCCGGGTACTTATCCGGTATCCTATCCACGTACACCGATCTCCTCCTGTCAACCTCCTTGAAAACTCCATTCCCTCCTCCTCCTCCTCTAGACCTCCCCCGGGAGTCTTGGAGATCAAACTCTGGAGTAACACTCTTGCTGACGGCGGCGGCGGCGGTGGCGATAGTGGCACCGATAGCACTGCTGCTGCTGCTGTTGTTGTTGTTGATGTTGCTGCTGTGCGGCGTTGGCTCGTCGTCTCGATCGTGCCCGTCTTCCCTGTACATGTCTTCCAGCTTCGAGTTGAAGTGCGGCTTGAGCCGCATATGGTCGAAGATTTCCTCGTCCCGGCTGTACAGCTCCAGGGCGAGGCGAGCCAGGTCCTCTGAAACGAACACAACAAACGCACAGTACTTAGCCTTCACATGCCGCACCTCCGTCACCACCTCGTCCCCTAGCTCCGCCTTCTGCTCGCTCGTCATGTGTTCCAGCAGCACCGCCCGGAAGATCTTCCGGATGACCGCGTCGGACGAGTTCTCCGGGAGGTGGTCCGCGTACACCGTCTTCTCCGGGTCCGACCGCTGCTTCCTCCTGCCACCATATCCATCTTCACCTTCGTCACCATCGTCACCACCACCCGGAGCTCGCCGTTTTGGCAGCCGAGGCGTCGGGGACATGTTTCGGTCCGACCGGGCCCTGTCCAGTGCTGCAAAGCTCCGCTTCTTTTCCACCCCGTCGTTGCTCCGCCCCAGCTCCATCTTCATGTGGCCGAACTCCTCCGGGTGCCGGTTGTGGAGGTCCAGCATGTACTCGACCAGCTCCGGCGTCGCCAAGTCCACAAACATGCAGCCCCGCGACGGTACGTGACGGATCGCCGTGACGAGCTTGCCGTCCAGGGACTGGTTTATATGGCTTGCAATCACCTCCTCGAACAGCTTCTTCACTTGGTCCGCGCTCGTGTACTTCCCCAGCTCCGTCAGGTAGAGCGGCTTCACTTTCCGCCGCCCGGCATCCGCGAGCAAGTCGGTCCCAAAGTCGTCCCTGTCCCTGTCCGCTACTGCTTTGCCTCGCTGATCTTCCGCCACTAGCATATCGTAGACTTTCATGGCCGCTGGCGATGGCAGCTCCACCTTGAGCCCGCAGAACAAGTCCCTGTCCGCCGTGTAGATCTGCAGCGTAGCTTCCAGCAGCTCGTCGCTTGAAAACTCCACGAAGAACGAGTTGCTGTCTTCCGACGCGTACTTGACGTCCGAGACCATGTCTGGCGACTGCTCGAAGCCGGGAGGGAGCTCGCTGGTCTTTTTCACCCTCTCCCGCAACACATTCTCGAAAATCCCCTTGAGCATGCGGGGTGATGCGTAGTCGGGGCAGTTTGTCACGTAGAGTGGCCGCCTTGAGAGCTTCCCGTCCTTGCTTTCTCCAGGTGGCGGTATCGACTCTTTAGCAATCTCCATCGCCACTTGGTCAAGCAGCTCCAGAGTTTGCTTCGTGGCCCGTGCAAGACCGTTTTTCCTCGCACTGCTCAGGCGGAGTCCCACCTTGGCAGATTTTTTGGCGTCACCGTCCAAGACGACACCGACCATTATACTCGTCGACTCCTGGATCCTGTCTATGCTGCTGATCTCCTCGCCGTCACCTTGGAGTTTCCGGACCACCGAAGCTACTGACAAGGGGTCGAGCTGTCCGGGATACCACAAGATCTTTGAGAAGACACCGCGCTGGACAACGTCTCCCAAAGCTTCTGCGGCTCGCCGAACGAAGTACCTGGCCTCCGCAGAAGGACAACTTTCCGTGATGCGCGAAGATAACTTAAGATGCAGAGCTTCTGCATGGAAGAAAAATTGTTTACAGAAGAAAGTTAAAGTGAAAGCCTCCTCACCTTGCTGAGGTTCCATGACATCCATCAGAAGAGTGACACCTTCGCAAGTCACCAAGACAAGTAACATCAATCACAACAGCAGGAAAAATAACTGAGTTACTTACCATAATCCTCACGCAAGTGTCTCGCGTTTTGTACCGATGGAACCCAGGTTCGTATGTCGGGATCACAACTTCTCACAAACATCTCCGCATACGCCTCGTTCTCATCCTCTCCAGTAACTATCGTATACTCTTTTCCCTTTCGGTCTGGACTAGAACCAGCTCGCTCCTCCGAGCCTTGATGGTGGTGCTTCGTCACCTCTCCCTTCTCTTTCCCTTGCATTTTCGCCAACGGATAGTCACCATCTACCTCCGCCCGACCCTTCCGCCCCGCTCTACCATCGTCGTGCTTATCCGCCTCCGCCTCCTTCAAGCGCTTCCCATTGCTGCCTTTATAGTCCGGCGACCTCTCCCTCTTCTTCTTATCAAAAGCCTCATGCTTCTTACTCGGTTCCACCACCGTCACCTTCTTCCCTCTCGCATCCTTGGCGTTCTTCTCCACCGGAGGAAGAGGAGGCGGAGGAGGAGGAAGACGCTCTCGCTCCTTCTCCCTCTCCTTGGACCGGCTCCTCACTCTCTCCCTGCCACTCTGTCCTCCCCGGCCACCATTCTCCCAGGTGTGCGGGCCCCGGTCCTTGTCACCATCGCGATGGCGACCACCTTTGCTGGTGTCTAGTCGCGGGAGATAATCGTAGTTGCCACTTCTCCTCGCATAAACACTCTCTCTGTTGTCTCGGGTGTCTCGGTCCCGATGGTCCGCCTCACGGTCCCGATCACGACGTGGTAACCGTTCCCTGTCCTGCTCCTTGTCCCTCTCGTGGTCCCTGTGCCGGTGCCTATCCCTTGCCTTCCCCTCTGCCTCACCACCATTGGATTTGGATTTCTTCTCGTCCTCGCCATATCTTTTCCTTCTATCGTAGCTTGCATAGGCCGCCGCTTCTTTTCCACCTTGATCCTCGCTAACCAATTGTCCTTCCTCCAAGTCCTGCTGCTGGTGCTTGCTATCTCCAGATAAATCCACATTTGGAGCTGAAGGTGGTTTGTCTTCCACTAAAACGTCCTTCTTACTGCTAGTGACTGGCTCGTCATCGATATTCGATGCTCCATCCTTGAGCCAAGCGAAAGACTCGTCGTCGCCATCCCCGGCCGGAGAGAGTGAGACGAAGCCGTAGAGGAAATCCTCGTCGGACGAGCTCAGCTCTCCTGGCTCGGCCTCGCTGAGCGCCGACGCAGGGACAAGGTAGAGGTCCGCAAGCCACACTTTATCTTCGTCGTGGAGAGGTACCACCGCGACCAAAGGACCTTTAAGTGATAGGCCGGGATCATTTCCCGTGCCACCACCAACAAGGAATTCCACCTACAAAAAGCAAGAGGAGCACAAGTAAGAAAAAAGTTCACAAACACACACACACGCACGCACACGAAAAAGAAGAGAAAATGACAGTTGACGAATCCATATCCTCCCTTACCAGCTTGTTCAGATTCGGAGACGACGCGCCGGGTGATCTTTGCGTCACTTTGACACCGGGCTCGGCTACGTACTCCTTCACAGCTCCCAGAAATCTACACGCGTAATGTTAGAGTACACAAGTAGAAAACACGAAACTTTCAACGAAGAAAACACAAAACCATGGAACAAAAAATGGACAGCACCAAAAACACCAGAAAAAAAAAGAAGAAAAAAAGCAAAGAAAAACAAAAGAGGTCGTCCAGAGTTCACGTACTTGTCGGTACTGGGGCAGCGTTGCACGGTGAGATCATCCGCCACCTTCCGGTTCTTAAAGACGTGTTGCCATCCCCTGGAGCATGCGGCCACCATGCTAGGGACTTTAACATCTTGGAAGTTAATCTGTCCTTGCCAGATCACACTCACGAATTTCGAGTCGTCGAGGGGGTCAGAGTGATCGTGGTGGATCATGGTCTCGCTACTGGCGTTGTTGTTCTTGGTGGCGATGGTGGTGCTGATGGTCGAATCCTCGGCAGTAAGAGGAGGAGGAGGAGCGGGCGAGCTCTCCTCCAAGGTGGTAATCGAAGTTTTCTCCTCTCGAGCATCGATAAGATCGATCGAAGAGCAAAGCTTGTCATGAGATACCTCTAAGTCTGTGGTGTTCTTCGTCGCGTTGTCGCTGGGATGATCGTTCTCGATCGGGAAGAACTCACATAAGTTTCCTGGCGCGGTGGTGTTCTTGGGTTCTTCCTCTTCCCCCACGCCCGCGCGGCCGTTCGAGTCTACGGCATTGTCGTCCGTCCTCTCGTCGCGAAACAACATCTGGAAGCTCGTAGATCTAACCAGCGCCGGCGCCGCCGGCCGCTGGGATCTGGGCCACGACGCGGATCGCTGCTGCTCCTTGGCGGCGGCGGTGGCGATGGTGGCGGAGGAGGAGAGGCGCCACTGCTTGGCATTTAGATCATCATCGTTTTCCTCGCTGGGTGAGGCTGGAAGCAAGCCCCTACATTCGCTGCCGGGCTTCTCCAGCTGAATCTCTTCTTGACTCGCTTGGATCTCCGGCGCGGCGCCTTGTTCTTGCGCCTCTTCTTCCAAAGCCCTCTTTATTGGCTTCCACTGCTCCACCGTGTGCGCTAGAAGTGACAATCCCGAGCAAGCGCCCTCCTCTTCCTCCTCCTTGTCGACCTCTCGCGCTGGCGATAGATCTTTCTCCTTTCGATCTTGCTCCTCGGCAGCCGCGGCGCGAGCCGCCGATGCCTCTGGCGCTAGCGGCTCATCCGCCGGCTCATTCAGATCAAACATCTCTTCCTCTTTCTCCAGCGCCTCTCTAGGGAAGGAATCGAGAGCTCCGGAGAGAACCCTAAAGCTCGAATCGCGGGGAGAAGCCATGGCCATGGCCATGGCCACCGCCGGCTGACGGCAATCGGACGGCTGAGATGCCTCGGCAGTGGACTTTTGCGGTGACACGTGTCGCGTCCCAGCCGTCCGCTGTAGGCCCATCCTGTACGCCGATAGTGGAAGAGAATCTAACGGACGCTTGTCGCCCACGTCAGCGTGATACATATCCGACCCGTTTGAAAACCAGTATTCCAATTCACAACGTGGGGGCCATGTGATAAGGCGCAAAAGCTAAGTCACCGTTTGTGATCCAGATGATAGCTCTCGAGCCAAGCCTGGAACTTGGACAAGGATTCCTGTCACTGATCCATCGCCGATTTTAATCTCCAGCCCAGGACCGCCGCATTGTTTTCTAATGTAGCACAGTCCAAAATATGGAGCTTCTCTCGTGCAGCTCGTCAGCTTCCCGGCCTTGAAAAGGGTGTGAAGCTATGGAACGCAGGTTTTGAGAAAAAATTATTTGAGTACCTTGACACCATCTCTTGTCGTCAGGATCGTTCCTGGTTCCACAGCTCCGGTGAGTTTTACACCGTGCAAGTGTTGCTTCACACCGTTGTATGTGATTAGTCTCGCCACTGTTTCCTGCCCGATGTAGCAACCTGGGAAATGTGATTGGCTGGTTTTCGTTTACGACGAAGAAAAGAAAAACTAACCTTTGGTTTGCGAGATTGTCCTCCAGAGTCCAGCTTCCAGGACGTTGAACTCGTCGGTAAGCTCCTTGCCAGGCACTGGCCTGCCTGCGCTTGCACGTCAAGAGCCTCGGTTTTCATAAAAAACAATCGATTGATTCTTCCATTACCTTGCAAGATTCGCAAGCGTTCCCAGGCCAAAGATCCCATGTGCAAAGCACCGCATTTTAATATCGAGGTCCACACAGGACCCGCGGCGGCAGTGGACACGAGGAAAGAGTAGCCTTTCGTGCACAGTCCAGAGCCGACTCCCACGGTTACAGGTGCCCCATTCGCCTGAAAAGTTGGACGAGATCAAAGTGTCATCAACTTTCCTTGGCATGAATGAATGCTTACGGTGTAGTGTACATGAGTTCCGTATGGCTTATCGATCAAAGACTCCAACTTTAGCTGCCGCATAACCTTCAACAGGAAAGCATGATTGTTGCTTGAACATAAAGACAAGGGGGCTCTTACTGACATTATCGCTTTGGGGGCCTACGATTGAAAAATAGGAGGTCTTCTCTGTGATATCATCCACTTCCACTTTGTCCGAAAAGAAAATGTACCTAAACCAAAGAAAAAGTTGAGGGTCTGACAAAGTCGAGAAGAAATCGACAAGCTACTTATTGAGCAGTTTGATAAGATCGTGCCGAGTCTCTGGAGAAACGAGAAGAATCACAGCCGTATTCTGCACCAATCATCAAGTCTGCTGCAACCATTCCAAATCAACAGAAACGTCAAAGCGTGTAAATCCTCACCATCGCCCATGCGGTTGCTAGATCGATTGTTCTTGCGGTGTTCGTCACAAAAACTGTATCGCACCCCTGAAAAGCTTTTGATATCAGGAAAACCAACTCTCACACGCTACGTAGGACTTACCTCCCCGTCCTTAAGCTGCAGCAAATCAGCAGTACTCTGGTTGTGCAGAAACCGCAACCGGTCGTCACCAGTGACTGGAATAATAAAAGTCATCAGCGCTTGCAGCACAAACAATAGTATAGAACATTCAAACCCCGGAGTCTTCCAAAGTGAGACATCTCTATCACCTGTCAGTCGAGAAAATTAAACATCGTAGAAAAAGCGCTTAAACAGTTCTCTTACAGCACATCCGGAATCGGCCGCTTTCAATGCTTCCTCATCGTTTCCAAAAGTCTGGACGATGCCATTGTCGGAGATCTGTGCACCACTTTCGAGCAAAACATCCTGGAACATCACAGCTTGCCATCAAATCCAGCGGAAACTCTGCTCTGCTACCTCCAAATCATTTTCTATTGGCGGAGGAACGACGTCAGGAACAGCGGCCACGACGACGCGACGAGCATCAAATTTCCCACTCAAGATCCTCGCGTGAATCCGTGATCTACTGCAAACCTTCTTGCTGAATGCGGCGTCGCGAGCCAAAGATCTGGCCTGTGGGACCGCGGCGGCGACAGCGCCAGCGCCTGGAACGCACAGGCTCGCCATGGCCGGATAAACCCTAAAACCGAAGAACAATGGCCGCGATATTCAAATGGAAGCACGATGATCCTATTATCCAAGCTCTCAAGAGCTGCGCTGATAGCAGAGATCTCGCCCTGGGAAAGAAGATCCACGAGCAAATCTTAGTCACTGAGAATCTCGGGAAGAACACGCACCTCGCCAACAGCGTTCTCGACATGTACACGAGCTGTGGATGCGTGACCGAAGCCCGCAAGCTCTTCGATTCGATCGAATCCCCCAATGGCTTCTCCTGGAGCCGGATCATCGCGGCCTACGCGCGCGGCGGGCTTCTGCGAGAGGCGCGAGAGCTCATCGATGCGATGCCTGGGCGAAATATCCGCGCCTGGAACACGATCATCGTCGCGTATGCCGATCGCGGGCGTCTGGAAGAGGCGCGATCCTGCTTCGAGAGGATGGACGATCGGGACACCGTGTCGTGGAATGTGATGATCACTGTCCACGCCAGGGCGGGGCGGCTGCGCGAGGCCTGGGGATTCTTCCAGCGAATGCGGCAGCGGGATCTCGTCTCCTGGCACGCGATCCTCACGGGCTACGCGCACAGCGGTGAATTGGCGCTGGCGAGGGAGATCTTCGAGAGAATGCCGAGGCGAGACACGATTTCCTGGACAGGAATCCTCCAGGCGAGCGCGAGAGCTGAGAATCTCGGCGAATGCAAGCGAATCTTTGATGCTATGCCGCAGAGAAACATGATCTCCTGGAACGCGCTCATCGCCGCAAATACCCTAGCGCGGCAACTGGATCAAGTGGAAGAACTCGTCGCGAGGATGCCACTCCACGAGGTCGTCTCCTCCACGGCGCTGCTCCAAGGCTTCTCGGATCAAGGGAATATGGCCAGAGCTGAGGATCTCTTCGCATCTCTCCCCCAGCGCGATGCCGTGGCCTGGAATGCAATGCTCCAGGCATACACCCTAGCCAAGAACATCGCCCGGCTCCATCGATTCTTCGACGCCATGCCCGGGCGATCCACCGCCGCCTGGAACACGCTCCTCCAGGCGCACGCTCAGGCGGGGCACACGGATCAATGCAGACAGATCTTCGCCGCGATGCCCGACCCAGACGCGATCTCTTGGAGCACGCTCATCCAGACGTTCGCGCAGAATGGCCACGGCGATCTTGGCGTCGAGCTCTTTGGCGCGATGATCCTGGAAGGCGTCGTGCCGACCGCGATCACGTTCATAAGCGTGCTGAGCGGATTCAACCACGTCGGGATGCTGGATCGCGGCAGGGAAATCTTTCACTCGATCGCGGCCTGCCACGGCCTAGCGATCACGCTCCAGCACTACAGCGCCATGGTAGGGATTCTGGGCCGATCGAAGCTGCTGGACGAGGCAGAGGAGCTGGCGCATTCAATGCCATTCTTGCCGGATGCTCAAACCTGGACAGAGTTGCTCGCTGCGTGTGTGCTCCATGGTGACCTGGAACGGGCTGAGAGAGCTGCGACGTCCATCCATCAACTGGAACCCAAGTGCCCCTCCTCTTTCTTGCTTTTATCTAGTGCCACATACACAAAGAGTTAACATTTATCACTTTAATTACATAACTTTAGCCCTATAATTAATTTTTCAAGTATACATTTGGTTTACTTTAGAAAGGGTGTAACGAATATTTCTAGAATATTTAGGTATATTTTAAAATATTCCTAATTATTTTAGATTGAACTGTAGTGTACACTGTCTATTTACTTAGTTTATCAAATTTGATGACAACAAAATGATCTTCAAAGATCATCATCTATGTCCAACTGCCATAGTAAGGATTGATAGCTCTATAAAATTCGCAATAAAGGTTCTTTGCAGCTCCTCCTCTAAAGAAACTATTATTCCAGGATAACACCAATGCAACTGCGTGGGAGGACAAGAAGTGCTGTGGAGAGTTGAGATTTCCCAGTTCAGGTTTGTCTCTCGTTTCTAGGAGAATATAAGCTTTTTCTTGTTCTTGGGCTGCAAGAGCTACAAAGACAAACCCAGCATGATCTCTACAAGTAAGAACTAGAGTGTGAAAGGTCTGTATGAGGTCTGTAGAGCTCATACACCATCACATGATGGCCCAAAGTTTCGCTTGCAGCTCTCAGTGCCAGAGGTATGGAGTGAAAAATGGTTGGAACTTTGGCTGGATTTGTTTGGAAGCTAGGACGGAGTAAAGAAAGAGATTTTAAGAATACACTCTTGAGTCTGTAAGGAAAGAATTGTTTCTTCTTCTTGTTATGGCTAGAAAGCTTTCTTCCCTTTTCCACACCTATTTGCAAGGTCTCAGAGATCATTGTTAAAGAATGGGGATGCCTCATACGATTAGAAAGAAGTAAATTCATTGTTTCATAAAACGAGGGTTTTAGGGTTCTTCCATGATTTAGGGTTCTTCGAGGAGATGGGCTGCTTGGCGATCGATCTTGCGGAGATCGTCCGTGCCAACTCGCGTTGTAAGTCTCCCTATCAGCTGGCGTTCCTTGATCGACCGATTTCTCCGCCTGCAGATTTTGACGAATTGGTGGACTTGATTCCTCCGAAGTTTTATCTTCCCGCTGATGACAATGTGGAGAAACAATGGGTAAGCTCTTCTCTATCTCGGAGCATTGCGGTGTGATTTACTGCTCCTTTCTGGTATAATGCAGGTGTTTGGGATGACCAAGAGAGAAAAACGAGAGGCGAGGAGATTAACGAAGGAGCACTCGAAGAAAGCGCGGAGAGATCGTGTATGGTGTGCTAGAAAATAACTCTTTGGTTTGCCTTGCCCTTCATTGAAGCTTTTGTAACTGCAGCTCGATCCAGAGAAGTTCGTCACAACTTTGCAAGTTTTGCAGCAACGAAATGAAGTAGCGGAGGCACACGCAGAGAAAGAGGAAGAAGACGAGGAAGCGAAAGCAGAAGAAAATGGCGAAGGAGACGCAGAACAAGGTAGGCTGTTTTCTGTCGAACCAATCCGTTTCCACGATTGAAGTCGTGGATCTTGCAGCTCCCGTTGCTGGGACGGAACGCGTCAAGTCGAGCCAGGAACTGCGAGAACGGCTCCACAAGCGAATCGAGGCGATACGAGCTGAGAGGCGAATAAACAAAGCTCGGGACTGGCAGGAAAGGACCAAGGACGCCTCGAAGAAACGCAAGAAGTCGGAGAACAAGACCACTCTGGCCAACAAGCGGCAAAAGCAAGTAAGAATCCTCCTGATTTATTCACATGAGCGTCAAAACACTTTCAGGGCCACAAGGAAACTGGGATTGTTCCAGTTTCGAGCGAAAAGGTCCCAGTTGCGAGTGATATGGAGTTTGGCCGGGTGAAAATAGACTCCCAGAAGCGAACTCTAAACCGGAAGAGCAAGGAAAAGCTGCTCGAACAGGTAAAAAACTTATTCTTAGCTAGTCGAGTTTTGATCGATGGTTTTTTCTAGGCTACGAAGCTTCAAAAGGATATCCAAGACACCGAGAAGGGCAAAGTAAGAACTGGATTTCCTTCTTATAGAGAAAGAAAGAAAAACTCACCACTGCTTTCTCTACAGGACGTTGCATCAAAGCACTCGTGGGACGCAGCACTCAGCCGAGCTTCCGGACAGAAAGTAAAGCTTTGTTTTTCTGATGATCTATAATGTCTTTGATGATGTTTGTGATTCTACTTCTTTCCTTCACAGGTCTTCGACAATCCCAAGCTGCTCAGGCAAAGCTTGAAACGAGAGCACCAACGTCGCGAAAAGAGTGCAAAGAAATGGTCAGTGCTCCATCAATCTCACTCTGCGAAAACGAAAATCTCTCCTCTTTCTTTCCAGGCAAGATCGACACGATAGCGAAGCACAGCGAGCTCAAGAGAAGCAACAGACCCGGGCCTCTCATATCAAGGAGCGCATTGACGCTCGCAAGCAAAGGCTCATAGCGAAGGTTTGCAAGCTTGTTACATTGATTGATCTGACTCTCTTGTTTACACCACAGAGGGAGAAGAAGCTAATGCGACCCGGCTTCGAGGGAAGAAAAGCTGGCTTTCTCAACGAAGCCAAGTAAAATCGCCACGAACCTCTGATAAAATAACGACGAGGAAGAAGAGAAAGAATCTGTCCTACTTATTTAACTATACAAGCTCTTGGTTTCGAGCTTAACCTGTCAAAAAGGAGCTCTGTAGTCCTGTTCCAGTCCCTGTTCCTGGCTCTGGCTCTTGAACCAGTCGGCTACTTCCTGGCTAGTGATCTCCGGCTGCACGACAGATCAAAAGGTGGTCAATCGATTCACGAAAGGGGCAACCAAGAAGAACTTACTGCAACGCCAAGGGAGAAGTCCATCTCGTTGCTAAAGTTCAGGATGTCCTCCTCCTCGCAACTTATCCCCGCGACCTCCGTGAAGGCTCGAATCTCCTGGCTACTAAGGTTCTCGAACTCGGTGGCGACGTTGTTGAAACTTTCGTCGCAGAGCAGCTCCTCTATCACTCTCTCGGCAGGGGTTTGTGGAAGAGGCTGTTGAGCAGTCGGACACCTCACGAGGGACATGCCAGAAGTTGACGCTCCCTGAAAATAAAGAGGGAGTTAGTCTTGGCAAGAGAAAACGAGCAAAAGGTTACGTACATAGTAGCCGTCTATCGTTGGGCACATCTCCCCCAGCTGCGGCACCGGTCTGCTCGGACAGGGCCTCACCACCTCTGGAGTGCTCGTCGAGCAGGGCCACACCACCTCTGGAGTGCTCGTCGAGCAGGGCCTCAGCACCTCTGGAGTGCTCGTCGAGCAGGGCCACACCACCTCTGGAGTGCTCGTCGAGCAGGGCTTCACCACCTCTGGATTGCTCGTCGAGCAAGTCCTTGCCACCTTCGCAGACTCATCGTTCTCGGGCTCGCAAGCGAGGGCCGCCTCCAACTCGCGGCTGAACGAGGCTTCGTTGACGTCGTTCGAATCGTTGGCCTCAGCTACTTCGGCTCCTTCGTTGGCTTCGGCTGCTTCGTTTGCTTCGCATGGCTCGCGCACAGAGCCTCGAGGTTGAGTTTGGAAGAACACTTTGGACATGACCAGCTCGCCCTCTCTTTCGTCTTCGTGAATGCCGACGTGGTACTGATGGATCACCCAGTTTGTTTTCTTTGGCTTGGACTTCTTCTTGAAGTTCGTGTAGAGAACCATGATCTTCTTCCAGCCAATGACCTCGCCGTTCTCCATCACGGGCCTTGTCTTTCCGGTCTTGTGCCATCGGGTCTCGTCGTCATCGTCGGTCTGGACTTTCCGGCGCTTCCGGGTGCCTTTGGTGTATGCGTTGGACGGCCGGTGGAAGAAATGGCTGCTGCTTCCATCGCTCTTCACACCTTCAAAGCGAACGTTTCAGTGCCTCGGCCAAAAAAAAAAAAAAAAAAAGGAACTAGCGTCGACAAACCTGGCAACTTCTCGGGATGCTTGGAGCAAATCCCTTCGTCGTCTTCCAGAGTCGGAATAAACTCGTCGATGAGAGCATGCGGCTTTCCACCGCGACCAATCTTCGCCGCAAGATGGTCCAGAATTTCTTTGTCATTCGGATCAAACTTCACTCCGGCGGGAAGCCCAGTCCAATCTTGTGGTGCCTGCGACGTAGTTTTTGCAGCAATGGGTACGCTCTCGGAAAAGAAATGAAACAGTAACTAGCTCCATACCAGTTCATTGTCATTGTCGATGGGCTTGTTACAAGTCGGGCAGAGGTGTTCCGGCGCATCGGGAGTAATTCTCTCGACCCCTCCAGCGTTTCTAACCTTCTTCGCAAATCTACTGCTATGAATCCATGTCATCCTAGAAGAGAAACGCGAAGAGAGAAAAAAAAACCTCGTTATCATAACCACCAAATAAAAGTCTACCTCTTTTCACGGAGGAAGACGCCGATCACCAAGCGCTGCCTCGAAGATGAAGCTCAGGAACTGGGAGAATGCGAATCTGGCAAGCGCCGCGAGGAAATTTCTATCTCTGACCGCGCAGACGATCGAGCAGCAACGAGAAATTGATCCGGCAGGAGAATGCAGCATCGATGCGTTGATCGTCGCGCCAGAGCCCTCGCTCCTCCTCGCTCTCAAAACCCTACAAATATGGAATCAGACAAAGGCGCCATGGAGCTCCAGTATATATGTGTGCCCAGGCTCGGCAAAACGGCTTTGGCTCGGCTTTGCCCGAGGCTGGCACTGTTAGGTCTCATGGGCTTGAGTAACTCACAAGATATCTACGAGGCATTTTCTTCTCCCTCGAGAATCGAGCGCTTGACCGCCTTGCCTCAAAAGCGCCAAACAGTGTGAGAGAGAAGAAAACCCTAGGAGAGCGCCAGAGCTACGCAGCGAATTTGCTCAATGCAGGCGCCGATTCGAGGGTGTAAGCAAGGAATCGAGGTATGGATGTGGATTTCGTGTTTGATTGGAAGAGATATCCTGACGATCAAGAATCCAGCTCATTCGATTGGGATAGTTTGAGGTGATTTGCTGGATCGAGTAAGCGCATCATTCTTTTCTTCGTGATTTTCGCAGTAGGAGGATTTCTCGAGGGATTGACAATATCTTGACGATCAAGAATCCAGACGAGGCGATCGGGATAGTTTGAGGTGATTTTTTTCTGGATCGAGTAAGTTTTCACCTATCTAACATCATAGTTTTTTTCTTCTTCTTTTTCTTCGTGATTTTCGCAGTAGGGAAGCATGGCCGAGCTGGGCCCTGTCCACAAGTATGCGGCAGGCGCGTTGTTTTCGCTTGCTTTGAACCAGGCACAAAGCCATCAGCGAAGCTTGCCACCGAGAGTAAACGATGATCAAAATGCTATTGCCGAAGGTAGCCAGGAAGAGGAGACGCCATGGAGCAGTGAGGAGTTTGGACTCGCGCAGCACGTTTTCCGGTGAGCTGAAAATCTTCTTTGTCAATCGTAAGTGTTTGAAGTTGCCGACTAGATACTTGGATATCGAGAAGAAGTCGTGGATGGGTTTGGAGACGACCGCTATTTCTCCCGACGCTAAACACCATATAGGTGCTGTAAGTATACATTTGTTCTTACTGTTGCAATGGACACTAATTTGTCCTTAGTTTCTGAGGCTCCTGTCCGAGGAAGATGTGCCAACCACGTCAGAAACTTTGCCCGAAGACGACCTGGCCAAAGCCATAGATGCGATGAGCCTGAAACTTGAAGAGTCTTCTTCAACTTCTCCAACGCGGAACGCGAATCCTCCGTCTAGAGACCGCGAAAGCTCGTCAGCGCCACTCTCGGATCAGAGGTGTTCCATTTCACAGGAGATAGACAGTTCGGTGCTTACGAGGCAAAGGAAAGTGGCCGTCCTCTACGAACTTCTTGTTGCTTGTGTTGCTGATGCATCAGACGAGAAGAAAGCATTCAGAGGTGGCTACGATTCTCGATACAGAGTCACATTACGACTCTTGGCCACATGGTTTGACGTAAAATGGTCGAAAATGGTCGGTGTTGCAAGCTTCAGTTGAGCTATTAATCTTATCATTTTGTGGCAGGCTGCTATGGAGGTTATGGTGGCATGCATGGCGATGGCTGCACGTAAAGAGCAGAGCACAGCAGAAGCAGAAGCTGAAAAGAGCAAATGGTCCAAGTGGAAGCGTGGAAGTCTCATAGGCGCAGCAGCAGTGACGGGAGGGACGTTGCTAGCAATTACTGGGGGTTATTCTTTAAGCTTGTCTTCCTCACAGAGGTTTACCGTTTCAATACAGGTCTAGCGGCTCCGGCAATTGCAGCTGGTTTAGCCGCTTTAGCTCCGGCAGCTGGAACGGTTGTTCCTATCATTGGAGCAAGTGGTTTTGCAGCAGCTGCTGCTGCAACTGGAACGGCTGCCGGCTCAGTTGCAATCGCGGCGTCATTTGGAGGTAGTGACTTATCAGAAGTATTACTAACCACTTACTTTCTCACAGCTGCTGGTGCTGGTTTAACGGGATCCAAAATGGCCAGAAGAATTGGTGATGTTGACGAGTTTGGTTTTGAGGCGATTGGAGACAACCATAATCAAGGAGTAGGACCTACTACTAGTGGTTTCTATGCTGATAGTTTCGTTTGTAGAGACTGGCGGTTGCTATTGTCATATCTGGGATCATTTTTGAGGAAGATGACTTCACCAGGCCATGGATATTTCCAGACGCAGATCTTGAAAGGTACTTCTTCCAAGTGTATCGGAGGCAGCTGAACGTGTGATCAGGTACTCTTTACGCTGGGAAACTAACGTTTTAATGGCTGTGAGCTCTGCTATTCAAGATTGGCTGACCACAGGTATTCGATAGACATAGCTCTCATAGAATTCTAACAAAGCTAATTACACAGCGGTTGCAAAGGAGTTGATGAAACGAGGAGCGATGATGACCGTTTTGAGTGGCCTACTTGCAGCACTAGCATGGCCTTCTGCTTTGCTGTCTGCTACAGACTTCATCGACAGTAGATGGACCATCGCAGTTGACAGGTTCGAAGTTCTATTACGAACTGGCATAATCCGTGATGTTCTAGATCTGACAAGGCTGGAGAAATTCTTGCGAATTGTCTGCTCAGCGGACTCCATGGCAGCAGGTAACTTTGTTCTTCTCGGCGCTTGCATTTCTGGTATTATGCCGCTTGTCCACAGGCCTGTAACGCTCTTGGGATTCTCCTTAGGAGCTCGAGTGATTTTCTCGTGTTTGGAGCACTTGGCAAAGAAAGGAAATGGTATGCTTCTATTTACCTGGCGAGAGCTCATGATTCTCGTTACAGGTGGCATTGTAGAAAGAGTGGTGTTATTGGGAGCTCCTCTTTCTCTTGATAGAAAGCGATGGATGAATGCTCGTAAGGTATGTTTTCCTGATAGCAGTTCCATTTCTTTGTTAGTTCTCAATGTGTTTTATTTTTGTTTCCAAGATTGTGGCTGGTAGATTTGTGAACTGCTATTCATCTAACGACTGGATCTTGGGAGTCATATACCGTGCAAGGTGAGCTTCTCTTGACCAGCATTCTATCATCTATGATTAACGATCCGGGGTTCTCACAGCATTTTGTCCCAAGGCCTCGCCGGGATACAACCAGTTGCTCTCCCAGGGATAGAAAACGTATGCATTCACGCACCGCTTTCTTTCTCCACAAACTTTTCCTTTCAGGTCAATGTAACGCATCTGATCACCGGCCACTCCTCCTACCTCTCAAAGATCCCAGAGATTCTAGAGACGATTCATCTGGACAATTACTTCCCAGTCTTCTTCTAGGACAAAAGAAATATGAACACCAAAGGTTGGTCTTAGTAGTAGAGTATCGATTTGAGTCAGTGTCTCGAGCTGGCTAACACTACACCTTTCTCATCAGGAGATACAGGCGCTGGTCCAGCTTTAAGTTGCCCAGGTGCTGCTTATCCCCCTTGAGCATCATCAACAGGCCTCCGAAAGAAACATAGACGCCGCTGGAAACGATCGACGAAGAGAAACTCCAAAAACTCGGTAAGAAAGCTCGCTTACATCTTGATGGCACCGCCGCTCTCGTCGTCATCGTACTTGTACAGCTTCCCATACATGACATACTCGTACTTGTCGGCCAGAGATTTCTTCCGAGACTGCGAGAGATCAGAGTCAGCCAGAGAAGATCCGAGCAAATGGAACCTGGTCGAAGACGCCATCGTCTGGAGTTCCATCCAATCGCAGGGTGGAGGAGAGCGCGAGCGTGAACTTGTCAGTCCTGGCGATGGGGTAGACGTCGATGTTCACGTCCAGGACGAGCTGCATATCAAACTGCTCGCTCCGGGCCTCGATGCGAGACACTGCTCATCACACGAATCCAGCGAAAAACAAATCAAATCGATCGCTCTCCTCGCTCGAAATGCCGAGAGCGAGGCGATCACCTTTGTCGAATTTCTTGCCGTCGGTGTCGATGCCGGTGATGGTGAAGATGTCCTCGAAGAGCAGCAGCTCCGCCATGGCTGGGCTGGATCGATAAACCCTAAAACTCGCGTCGTGGATATTCCTCCCAGATTTGGCCTTGTGGGTCTTATATAAATAGCGGGACGAGAGCGTTTGCTAGGGCTTTTGGCTTGCTTGGACGATGGCGTTCCGCTCCACGGCTGCGAGGTTCCAGCAGGTGATCACCACCGCCGCCAAGACCCCCGCTAAGAAATCGCTCGCGGATGCGAAGAAGATGGCGTCCTTCTCCAAGAAGAACGCTCCCGCGGACTGGGTCCAGCGATCCGACCACCACCTCATCACCATCGACATGCCAGGTATGAAATCTTCGCTGTGGAGAGGGAACCACTCGAAGCTCTCAAGAAATCCTTTCATAGTGGCGATGGTTTTGTGTCCCCAGGATTGTCTCACGAGGATTTCAAGATCACCACGGATGCCAACGAGATAACCATCAAAACCAAGGAGCGCGAGAGGGTGGAGCTCGAGGATGATAAGTGGCACGCCAAGGAGCGCTACGTTGGCACCGTGGTTCGCAAGTTTGAGTTCCCTGACGGCGCCAAGCTGAGCAAGGAGGACGTGGAGGCTGTGTTTGACAATGGCGTGCTCACGCTCAAGGTTCCCACGGATCCGGAGAAGCCGAAAGAGACCATCACGATCAAGCCTGGCAACTGATTTTGTCAATCTCTCAAAGAAAAAAGAATGACCTTAGCTTTGATCGATTTGATCAGAGTTTCATAGTTGTTAATGTCAACAGTGATAAACCCTACTGCTATGACGAGGAGAATGGCTGCCATGTTTTCATTGAGGACCAATTTCCTTGGCGGCCCTTCTCCGCGGCTCAAGCCATCGATTGCTACTACTGCTACAACGCTGAGCACTGTGAGAGCGCTTGCTTCTTCTTCCTCTTCTTCTCAAGGTAAATTTGGTGCTCTTTTCTTCTCAAGTGAAGTAACTTTGTCTCCAGCTTCTGGGAGCAACCAGCATTTGAAACTGGGATTCCTGGGACTTGGAATCATGGGCACAGCAATGGCAAGAAATCTCGTAAAAGCCGGGTAAAACAAGTTATTTTTCTCTCTTTTTTCTTGCTCGATTGCTAGCATGATCCGTTTTTTTTGTTGTTGTTGTTGTAGCTACGATGTCACCGTTTGGAACAGATCTGCGAGTAAATGCGAAGCTTTAGTGAGCGAAGGAGCAAGGTGGATCTCGTCTCTACTTGATTTGGTTTTCCTTATGTCTTTTTATTGTCAAGACGAGGTTCCACACCAAAGAATGTCACCGAAATGTGCGACGTCACGTTTGCGATGCTTGCTGATCCAGTTGCAGCAGTAATGCACACTCGTAAACTTTGTGGCTGTTCCTTTACATGCTCTCACTTTTATCTTTTGCATTTTATTCCTTCTTCTACATGCAGCTCGAAGTTGCTCTTGGGAGTGATGGTGCTCTTGGAGGGTTGGGCTCGGGGAAAGGGTATAACAGATTTTTGATTGAATGAAAACGTAATTTCACACAACATGACTTTGCAGATATGTTGATGTATCAACCGTCGATGCCGGGACAACTAAAACTGTATGCGAGGCAGTGAAATCTTCAGGCTCTCTCTTCTTGGAGGTATGCTTTCTTTCTAAGAGTGAGCCAACATTTTGTGGTTTTGGAAGGCGCCAGTCTCGGGATCCAAGAAGCCAGCCGAAGAAGGAAAACTTATTTTTTTAGCTGCTGGTAAGCTCTCTCTGTCTCTGGTTTTTCACCTTAGCTAGCAAAAACACATGGTAATACGTGGTATTTCAGGAGACAAGGAGTTGTATGATACAGTAGTACCGATGCTAGACGTGATGGGCAAGGTTAAGTTCGTAACGATTATTGTCCAGAAACTTCACTTATTTTAATTCTTTTAGTCGCGGTTTTACTTGGGAGCTCCTGGAAACGGAGCTGCAATGAAAATTGTTGTTAACATGATCATGGGAAGGTTCGTGTGCCAATATGTTTTTTACTCTTTTGAGGTTTTTCTTTCTTTTTTTTTTCTTTAGCATGATGGCAAGCTTTGCCGAGGGTCTGATTCTTGGAGACAAAGCTGGCCTTGATCCTCAAACTATACTAGAGGCATGAATTTAATCCTTGCTATTCACTCTTAGAGAATGTAACTTTCAGGTTCTATCCCAAGGTGCTATTAACAATCCAATGTTCTCCCTAAAAGGTCCAACAATGTTAGCAAGGAACTACGCTCCAGCTTTTCCTTTAAAACACCAGCAAAAGGTTTGTAGTATGGTTTTAAATGTGAATCTAATCTTCTTTAAATTTGTAGGACTTGAGATTGGCATTGGACATGTCTGATAAGCTTTTGCAAAACATCCCAATTGCTGCAGCGGCAAATGAAGTGTACAAGGTTGCTAAAGGTAATGGTTTGGGTGATGATGATTTCTCTGCTGTTATTGAGGCCTTTAGAAATAAATGAGGTATTTTTTATAAGAATTTATACCTTGAAACAGAATATCTACTAGGAAAATCCAGAATGATAATTAGAAATGGAATTCATTTGATTTGATGATACATTCTTTTCAAATTTCTTATAACCTTTTTACATTATTATTTATCTTTCTAGCTTTGGACCAAAGAAAAAATAAAAATATTATAATACAAATGTAAAGATATAAACTGAAAAATTAATAAACTATATCATATTATATAATTTCTAAACTTCCACTAACTTTTTTTAAAAGTTATTTTAATAGTTTTACAATTTTAATTTAATTATTTTATTAATTTAAATTTAACATTTTGAATGATATTTAATGTGCAATTGCATCCACTATCTGATTATGTTTGTTTTTCTCAAAACTTTTATATTATCTGATTTAATTAAAAGCCCATCATACTTATGAAAATGAATAATATCTGATTCAAATAAAACTTAAATACATAAAAATTATAACTTTTTCCAAATTAAATGTAAAATTCTCCACTTGAATATGATATTATAAATTATATCAGTCCATTGGTGAACAAAAACACAAACAAAAGGACAAATAAATAGAATGGGAGCATAATAGATAGTATACTTGAATAAAGTAATTTTTTTTAATCATAGAAGAGTTAGTATTCTAAAATGAGGATTATTTAATAACATTATATATATATATAATCATAATAAAAATAAATTATTATTTTTAACTACAAAATTTTTCCAACTAGATATAAAGTTTTTTATTAAATATATATTATACTCTTTATTTTAATACTTTATAAATGTTTACTATAAAAGATAAAAAGTTACATACAATATATAGCAAAGCCAAATGTTTTTGTAGCTTTATATATTTATAATAGTGTGCATAACATAGTCAAGATAAGTTTAAATAATTATTATGCTATGAAAAGTTTGGCTTAAATAATTATTTAGTTATCTAAGTTCATATAAATTAATTATTTTATGCATAATTATTAATGAAACTAAATTATGCCTTATAATAAAGGTATAAAGTTCAGATTTACTATAATTGAATATTACTATTAAACTAAATATTTAAAATAATTTACTACACAATAGAATACTTGGTTATCTTTGAATTTATAAAAATTATTTTAATTTATAATATAGACTTTTCTAAGCTTCACTTTAAATACTATTTAATGGTTTTCTTGTTATATATATTTTAAAACTAAAATGTTAGTATCACTTCATAGTATTTAGAGAATGTTGTTTTAATCTAGTAGGCCTTGGTAATTATTAGGTTTAGAATGTATGTCTTGATTCCTCTCCACCTCCAGCACATACATTTTTGCTGAAGGATTTTTGTATAGCCAAATAACAAAATAAATCTTAATGATTTTTTAGTAGCTTAGGACACAATTTTAAAAAAGGAACTTTCTTCTGCACTACAAGCGAGGTTAATGTTAATAGCCAGGTTAATTCAAGTCTAAATGTCTCTTCAGAAACACAACACATCACATCAAGGTAGGCAATAGCAACAACATTGTTCTATCTTGTTCACTTTTCTTTTACCTTACAGAACAATTTATCTTCAAAATATAGGTATACCAATGAGTTAATTGCAAGTATCTAGATATATCTATGCTCTTGGAAGCATGAGTTGTAGCAGCTAAAACAGCTTATTCACTTTAGTTTCTCTTGTATCAACAACAATAGCTAACAAATAAGAGGGATCAAGAAGAATTAACATTAGCCACCTCTACCAAAACAACCAAGGCTCAGTGTTAATGTTAACTAATAGTTTGTAAAACCTTACAACTATAGGAAGATCGTCTAGATCCCTACCATGTACACCATGTTTTCTAATAATTTCATTGATGACTAGTTGAGACAAGTCTTATAGTCACACGATTTAGTGATAGAACATACATATTGGTGCAATTAGAGCAATGCATTAGACAAATAATGGAGCATTAGACAAATAATGGAGCATTAGAGGGAGTGAAGGAACAATGGAGACAACAAAGAGTAACAATCAAGAGATCAAACATAGTGCTATAGCTCTAATTGATTAGTTTGGTGTGGACTGTTAGGGCTTGTGTGGATGAAGTAAATAGAAGTTGGGCTGATTTCTAGAATTTGGAACTTAAATGAAGCTAGGGCT